CTGCTGCCGTGCGGGTCAGCTGCAGAGAGAGTCACCAGAGACCCAATGACATCACCAGAGACATTCAAACTGCACGCCAGGAAAACCCGTCAGATTGCGGCTGCCACCCTCGTCCCACCTCTAAAGATGCTTCAGACTCAACTCTAGAAATCTCCGCGGCTAGCTATCCTCCAGACTCAAAAACTCAGATCACAATTTGTACCAAATATTAACCTTTGTTTTTATTTTGTTTCCATGGAACACTACTATGCTAGTCAGTTTCTGTTGCTTATAACAAAATACCTGGAACTGGTTAATTTGTAAGAAAACAAAATTTATTTCTCATGGTTTTGGAAGCTGGGAAGTCCAAAGTGTAGGGAACACAGCTGGTGAGGGTCTTCTCTGGTGGTGGCTTTACAGCACTGCAGGGTCTCACATGGCAGAACGTGGTGGAGCAGAGAGAGGGGGACTCTCACGTGCTCTTCTTTTAAAGCCCCCAGAACCACGCCCACGACCACCAGTAAACCATCCACCTAATCACTTCAAGGCCCCACCTTTCAATCATCATAATTGGGTTTCCCACCCTCGACAAGTACAGTGGGGTTCAGCTTCAGTGACTTTGGGGCCACTCAGTCCACCACAGCTACCTTGAATTCTCTTCAAGCCGCACAGCCTGACCTGAATAATGACCTCAGTAGTCGCACCCAAGACAGAAGCTCTCGATACCTCAGCAACCTAACAAAGAGGGGCTTGTGTTCTTATTGATAAAAAAAAATGTTGTTTCTAGGTTAATAAGTTAGAAATTGTTGCCCAAAAGTTGAAGTCACTTAAGAAATAAACACAAGTCTCACCAGATGGGTGCTGCCTCCTCCGCTGACTTATTTCATCGGTTGAATCTTGGCTCCTGGGAATCTCTGCTCCAGGCAACTTTTCCGTCCTTGGCTGTTTCTCTCCTTGTAGTCATTTGATTTTATTTACCTTCCTAGTGTGTTGTATCCTCTCAAGGGTTTACACACGTCCCAGCAGCCACTGGCACACCAAATGACAGCCGTCAGGACTGGACATCTTGGAGAGTTCAGCCACCCGACCACTCCACGTGACCTTGTGTCTCGATGCAACCGCTGCTGATGATGGAATCTACGTCACTTTTTCTTCCAGTGACTACCTCGATAGTGCTAACCAGGCCTGAAGAATCCTGAGCAGATAAAACCAGCTAAGCCTCATAAGTGACCTCAACCTTGCTTGATTTGCAAACGTAAGCAGAATCTAACTTGAGCTATTTCTTGTAAATGCCCGTATTAAAAACAAAAACAGAACTTGAGCTCAATCAGTCAGAACTAGCCAACAAATGCATATAATTATATAACTAGGGCCGTTCCTGAGTAACTGTACCCATTCACACAGTTTCTTTGCTTACTTCTGTATCTGTCACACAAAAGCCTCCCCTGTCCCATCCTGGAGCTCCTGACCACTACTGGCTTGGAGCTGCTGAGATTCATAAATTGCTGTTTGCTCAGATACACTCTAAAATTGCATTGTGCCTCAGTTTACTTTTTAACAAGGTCCACATTATTTCCCTGAGACCCTGACAACATTCCTTGTCATCTATCTGGGACCTTCAGGAGGAGGGGTTGGCTGTGGCAACCCCAGCAGGACTCAGAGGATGCTGCGTGCCCACCTCAGTGGCACACAGATGGGCCCTCCATGGCTGGCCCTGAAAAATGACCCCAAGCCACACTGACAGGCCTTTTGAAGCCCCCAGCACACAACACAACCCAGGGGGTCTGCCTCCCACTCACTCGGTTTCCCAACCCCCTCCTCCAGGGAATCCTGAGGGGCAGGCTTTAGAAAAGGCTTCGGGATTACAACTGGGAATAAACACAGGATGGGCTGTGGAACCACGTGATCTGGGGACACAGGGAAAACATTCTCGTCTCCAACAGGGCTTTCTCCACCCAGGATAGGCCTGTGTGGTAAAGAACTGAACTTTTTCCAAAAGCAGCCTGACCTTTGCCCCCAGGTCCTGGGAGGTGACCTCTCAGCCTGGAATGTCTTTCCTGATAAGACTGCATTTGTTTCCCTGGGGGTCCTAGGCCATCCACATGGTGACAGTGTGATTTAGGGTGAGTGGGTCGTGTGGTTTCAGTCAACCTCTGGAGGGGCTGGAGACTGAGATCAACCACACAGACAGTCAATCGGCAGTGCCTGTGTGCTGGAGCCCAGTAAAAGCTCTGGACACAGAGGCTCAGGCAAGCTTCCTGGGTTGGCAGTGCTCCATGTGTCATCACATGTGGATGCAGAAGAGCAGTGCTGTCCTGACCCCATGGGGAGAGAGCAGGGAGCTTCGAGTCTGGCACTTTCCAGACCCTCCTCTGGGCTCCTTTGCTTGGCTGCCTCTAACCTGGATGCTTTCCCGTAAAAACCACACCACAAGTACAACAGCTTCACGGAGTTTCGTCTAGCAGATTACTGAACCTCGAGGGTGGACTCAGGGCCCTCAAACCTGCCATTGCTGTCAGAGGGAAGGGGAGGCTTTGTGGGCTGTCTCCTCCAACATGTACTCGGCAAACTCTGGGCAAGGCCCCGCCCTAGACCCCAGACATACTGACATCCTAGGGAACTCCAGGTGTCTGGGCAGCTGGAGACCAACCCCCTGCTCCTCTTAAACAAACAGGGTGTGCTCATGTGATGGGGTGAACATGGGATCTGTACACAGCCAAGTGAGCTCAAGCCACTGACCCCTCTGGGACTCAGTTTCTTTAGCTGTAAAATGGTATGGTGGGGAGAGTGCTGAGGGAGGGGTAGAGTCCTGCCTTAGCTGGCTCCTAGGGCCACACTGTGGTCACTCTGGGTGGCCCCACCCAAGGCTCCCCCACTTTAGCTGTAAAATGGTATGGTGGGGAGAGTGCTGAGGGAGGGGTAGAGTCCTGCCTTAGCTAGCTCCTAGGGCCACACTGTGGTCACTCTGGGTGGCCCCACCCAAGGCTCCCCCACACCCAGTAGCCAAGCTTGTCTTCAGGCCGTTTGCATAGACCTCAAATTTCAAGCAGAATCAAAGCCTTTTTGGAGTTTAGGCAAAAATCTTGTGATTTTCATTTTCAAATAGTTTGGGCTTGGCAAGTCCAAAACTGTACTTTGCCAAGTCTTCCTTTCTCCTATAATTTAAAGAAGAAAAAAGCACAGAAAACGAAACCACTGTGCATTCCAAGGGAGACATGGTCTGCATGCTGCCGACTCTGCCAGTCATCAAAATCACCGTTCGGAGAATCTACACTGTGTCCCAACAGCCTCGCAGAGCCTGTCCCAGGCGTTGTAAATTTTTATTTCATTTCATCTTATTTTGCTTTATTTTTAATGTGTCAATGAGGCAGAATCTTTGCAGGGAGTTAGCGCCAGTGCTGCCCAGTCCGCAGGTCCAGGTGAGGCTTGCAGAGACCCCACTGCCAGGCCATCAGGGCGAGCATCTGGGAGCCAGTAGGCCAGGCAGAGCCCAGCGGAGGGTAGAGAGGCCGGGAAGCCTGCGAGGGGCTTCTGGTTTGATGGACGCTCGGCGGGGGGGACCGTGGACTGAGCCCCTATCTCCATTCTGCTCATCTGCTTCAGAGGCTGTGGCTGCTCAGACATCCAGCACCCTGTCCTGAGTCGCTGGGTGTGCACAGACAGGCAGACACCACCTACATGCCCAAAAAGCTCAGCACATATGGTCACATATGGAGGGGCTAGTCCACTTCAGGGGTGGGGAGATGGGGACATGGGGAAGACCTCAGTGGCACAGCCGATGCTTGGCCTGAGGTTTACCATGGGAGCGGGGTCCCCAGGAGAATGGGAGGCTGAAGGACAAAGGATGGGAGAACGGCCTCTTGGGAGAGCAGATGGCCCCAAAACCAGAAGTGCAAGCTGGCCCTGGACAGAGGACTGAGCCCCTGGCTGGAGTCTCAGGTGGCAAGCAGGGTCCCAGGGCTGCCTCCTACCGTCCAACCCACTCAGCACATGTCGACTATGTCCTCACAAGCTCTGCGTGCCCCACAGTGGAGGTTGGCCAGGTCCTTGCAGGACCCCACCACCTGCACAAGGCCATCGATCCTGTTCACCAGGGCTGGAAGCCAACACTGACAATCTCAAGTGGTGGTTTCTGAGAGGATTAAGGGATGGGCGTCTTCACCTCCAGCAGGTGCCCCACTCTGCAGAGCTGCCCAGGACACAGAGGCCTGCCAGGCCCACGGGCCCACGAGAGGCCCAACCATTACCCAGGCCTCGTGCAGGGAGGCCTCCTCCACCCTCCAACCCTCAGGCAGTGCTCAGTCATGCCTTTCCAAGTGCAATCTGCCAAATGACCAACCTTAAAGAAATATTGTGGGAGGAAAGAGTTCAGGTCCCCTGGACCTCAGCTGTGTGGCTGTCAGGGGGTGGGATGGGAGCAGGCCCCAGCTCTCCAGGGCACACACAAGGCTGCAGGACGTACAGTGCCAGAAGAGCTGGCTCAAGGAGGCCAGGCCCCGCCAGTTTTCCCATGCCAGGAAAGCTAGGAAAGCCTCTCCTCACACCTCAGCTGAGCAGCAGCCAGAGCGAGGCAGGGACAGTGACACCTGTGCCTGTTGGGCTACACCAAGGAATGCAGACACATTCCCTAAGCCCAAGAAGACCACTGGAGCAGGACAGGCCCATGTAACCACCAGAACAGGCAGGGCCTAGGAGCTGGCCTTAGAAAATCATATCCATGACGACATTGAAAATGCTTCCATTTCAAGTAGGGTTTAATCCTGGGATGCAAGGACGGCCCAACAGCAGTAAATCTGTAAGGATGATGCACTACATTAACAAGTGGGAAGAAAAAAACATGATCATGGAACTAAACCCAAGTCCACTGCCTTCCCCAAACAAAAACCCTGGCTCTGCTAACGAAAATCTGTTACAGAACCCAGGGCATTCTGCTCCTGACTGAGGCTCACCGAAATCTTGTTGCCGAACACAAGTCTAGCTGCCTGCCCCAAGCAAAAACAAACGACCCAAAAGTCAAAGTGTTAGTGGAGTAGGACGTCAGCTTTTATTCAGGGTTATCAGTGACCTGAGGAGAGATGTGAGGCTAACCCACCTCTCCAGTGGGCCTGCAAGAGGATGGCCAGACCACAACCATCTCAAAGACTCAGATCTTCTGAGGGGTTTTAAAGAGGAGACTGAGGGAAGAGAATGTGGGGAACGAGAAGCAGGAAGAGGGACGTGAGCTGTGGGGGCTCCGTGCGAGGAGCCAGGTGCAAGGTCTTGCCAAGGCTACCCCTGGTTTCTGTTTCCGTCCTCAGTGTTGTCTCAGGGTCCTGATCTGGGGTGGAGTCAGCACAGCTTTACTGATGTCTTCCTTGGTTTCTCAGGGTCTGGACAGTAGGTGTTTCATGGCAAGTCTGCAGCTCCAGGCCGACTAGAGAGCAACTTTACATTTTTATAAATAATGTCATCTTGTCCTGTAACCAAAGTTCAAACTATCAAATTACCACGGGAAAGAGGGAACTCAGAGAAATGCATGCTAAGAAGAAAACTGTGTCTTCACAATCTACAGAATCACCTCTTTCAAATATCACAGTTGGATTTCCCACCTGCTTAGCACTGTTACAATCGGGGTCAAGCTTCAGTGCGATGGGGGGACAGTCACTCCACAGCAGTGATCAACTGAGAAACTATTAGAACTACGTAGATAATTTAGTGATGCTGTTTAGTAAAAGATTAACATTCAATAAATCTACACACAGTAATGACCAATGAAAATATGTTGCCAGCAGTACTGCTCATAATAGCCCAAATTTTTAAAACATGAAAAGAGACCAAAAAATGTAAAAAGGCCTAGAAGATGAAAATTGTAAAACTTTACCGAAAAGGAATTTAAAAACTAAAATAAAGGGATTTATTTGGAATACATAGAATTCTGGGATGTCAAAAGTCAATTTTGAGAAAAAAATTAGTTCTCCCCAGAACTAATCTATAAACTCAGGGCCATTCTTATCTACTACTTATGGGATTTGACAGGATGAATCCAACAATTGTATGAAGAACATTTTAAAGGACAGCTAAGAAATTTTGAAAAATAAGAAATATATGTTCTATAAATCTATGTCACTTAAAACAGTGCGGCCTTGGCCCAGATATATGCAAAAGACCAGAGAATAAGAGTCTAGAAACAGACCCGTGTGTGTCGGAACGCATACGTACTGGCACTTCGTAAGTGAACAGAGGAAGGAAGGATCTTTGCAACATAGATCCCAGGCAAGGAGCCTGATTCTTAATCCATAAAGAGCTCCTCAAAAATCAATACATAAAACACCAACAATGAATGTAAAAAAATAGCAATGGACTTGAATAGACAGACCACACAAAAACATAAAAGTAGCTGGTAAATTTAGGAAAAGATGTTCAACTTCCCAGTCAGCAGGGAGGACAGATCAAAACACTGAGGAGATAGCACCTCTCACCCCTCAGGCTGGCAAAATTTAGACGTACGATCATCTTTTGACAAGAGCATAAGTAAGCAGGTGTTTCACTCGACTTTGTCTTTTGGAGGACAATTTGGCCCTATCTATTTAAAATACTAAAATGTACATTCTGTAACTCAGCAGATGTGTTTCTAGTAATCTGTTCTATAGATATGCTCACACGTGCTCACATAAAACCACAGGTGCAGTTTCAATGTCACTCTGAAATAACAAAACTCTTGAACAGAGGCATGGCTAAACAGAGGGGTGCACCTCCTTTCTGGAATACAGAGAACGCAGGACGGCTGTAGGTATCGACGTGGAGAGACCTCCAGGACTTACTTAGGGCTCAGTATGAAAAAAACAACACCGCACAACGATGTGGGCAATGCACCTGAACTAAACGTGGCTCCCGGACATGCCCACAGGAGAACCGAGAGGAAGTTCTAGAAAGACGTGCCAGAAGCTTCTGAACTTGGTCACTCGGGTGAAGGGCGTGATCTGGGGGTGTCAACAGGGACTTTCTTTTTTATATATATACTTCTGAATTTGGAGTTTTGTTTTATTTTAACAATCATATATTCACGTGTTGATAGTTAATTTTAGGTGGCAATTTGACTGGATTAAAGAATACCTAGAAACCTGGTAAAGCGTTATTTTGGGGTGTGTCTCTGAGAGTGTTTCCAGAGGAGATTCGTATACGAGCCCGAGTGGATGAGATTCGGAAGGTCAGCCCTCCACGTGGGTAGGTGGGGGGGCACCATCTGATCTGCTGATGTGGGGGGCCCCTGCAGGGAACAAAATCAGAGAAAAGGTGAATGTGTCAATCTGTCTGCGGGAGCTGAGACACATGCTTCCTCTCCTGCCCTTGGACCACAACTCCAGGCTCCCAGACTTTTGGTTCCAGGACTTACACCAGCAGCCCCCAGGGGTCTCAGGCCTTTGGCCTCAGACTGGAAATTATGCCATGGGCTTCCCTGGTTCTGAGGCCTCCAGACTTGGACTGAGCCATGTTGCCATCATCCCGGGGTCTCCGGCTTGCAGACGGCTTGTCATGGGACTGAGCCTCCATAATCACATGAGCCAATTCCCCTAATACATTCCCTCCCACATATCTATGTCTACGTCACCTAGATCTATGCCTATATCCTATTGGTTTGTCTCTCTGGAGAACCCTGACTAATATTTCATGCATTCATAGAGCTTTTTTTCTTTTTTTAAGTTTCTAAAAAGCTTCACATTCTGATTGTTGGTCACACAAACTAGATCTTGCATGACTTGGCTCTGCCTCCTTCAGCAATCGCCGCCCCCCGCCCCAGATGCCACGATCAGCTAACCCCTCTAAGTGAATGCACTGGGTTTATGGTCGAGGCCCTTCACCTGTGCAAACCAGGCGTGTTCAGCGTAAGTCCCAGGGTTAAGCCCACCTACTAACCCAAGCACGACACACTCCAGGTAACACACTGCAGAGCCGACTTCCACTCGACCCAGCTGCTGCGTGTGGGTCTGGTGTTTCCAACCACTAGAGAAAGTAGGAGGGTCATCGTCCAGCAAGTTAAGTCTCTATGTGTGGTTTTGAAATGCATTTTCTCACAACTGCAATTAAATTGCAGTGCCCAGTTCTGGACAGTTTGAAGGTGCTGCAGTAGAAATGGTCGTTCCATTCGGCAAGAACAGCTCCTTCCACAACATCTGCAGGCAGGAAGGGCGCCTGAAGCCAGGGGAAGTGGGTCTGGGGCTGCGGGCTGGGGTTGTCCTGAGGCATGGAGGCAACCAACAGCAGCAGGCTGGCTGGGGACCAACCCCTCTGTCAGAGACAGACAACTCTGTACAACTGTGTTACCTTGGGCATTACTCTAAACACAGCCCTGAGGGGTTTGTCTTGTCCCCACACAGGAGAGGCCCTTGATGATGAATAAATAGGCCATTTGGAGTTGTAAAGCTAGGGCTGAATCTGGGCTGGGGTTGTCCTGAGGCATGGAGGCAACCAACAGCAGCAGGCTGGCTGGGGACCAACCACTCTGTCAGAGACAGACAACTCTGTACAACTGTGTTACCTTGGGCATTACTCTAAACACAGCCCTGAGGGGTTTGTCTTGTCCCCACACATGAGAGGCCCTTGATGATGAATAAATAGGCCATTTGGAGTTGTAAAGCTAGGGCTGAATCTGGGGCTCACAGACCCCTTAAGCCTGTTGTCCAGGATGGGTCACCAGACCCCACACATGCAGGTCTATGAGCTAGGTAACCAGCAAACAGGTGCTTGGAAGCTGTAGGCTGGAAAAGCATGACCGCGCGGCGGCGACTGCCCAAGGCAGTAAAACGCCAGCCAAGGCAGTGGCACCGTGCAGGCGCACTAACTCTGCCCACACACAACCTATTCACAGCAAATGCTTGGCAAGATTCTGAACATGAGAGGCCCTGACCATTTTCCTATATTTTCCCAACGATCCACCCCTTCAGGGTCCCTCACCATGTAATCTACACATTCAGAATCTCCTGCGATGTTCCCTTAGCGAGGATAAATGACCCTTACATTCACACATTACACATTCCATCCCAGTTCCAAAAGTCTTTTAGCTTGTTGCAGCACCAACTCAAAAGTCCAAAGTCTCCTCTGAGACCAAAAGCAAAAGTCCTTCCAGCCGTGAACCCGAAAAAAGTCAAAAACAAGTTTATCTACTTCCAGGATACAGTGGGCAGACATTGGGTCCAAAAGTCTTTTAGCTTGTTGCAGCACCAACTCAAAAGTCCAAAGTCTCCTCTGAGACCAAAAGCAAAAGTCCTTCCAGCCGTGAACCTGAAAAGAGTCAAAAACAAGTTTATCTACTTCCAGGATACAGTGGGCAGACATTGGGCACACATTCCCATTCCAGAGGGAGGAAAAACAGTCCCCAAACAAATCCAAAACCCAAACAGGGCAAACATTAAGCACACTGGGGCACCTGGACCCCTAAAGCGTTGGACAACCTCGCTCCTACAGCTCTGCCAGATGCAGACCATTGAGCTACCCTGGTGCCTGCAGCTTTTCCAGGCTGGCGCTGCACGCTGCCAGCAGCCCCACGGTTCTGGGCTCCTGGTGGCAGGCGCACCATCCTGGCTCCACCAGACATCTCCTCGGTGGGGGGTATCTGTGGGGGCTCCGACCCCACTCTTCTGCTCCACATTGCTCCGCGGATGACCTCCGCAGTGGCTCCACCCCTGCAGCAGGTCTCTGCCGGAGCGTCCCGCCTTTTTCATACATCTTCCAAGATCTGGGTGGAGGCTGCCACGCCTCCACTGCTCTCCCACACTGCTGGCCTGCAGACCTAGCACAACATGAACGCCACCAAGGTTTTCAGCTTTTTTTCTTCAGAGGCAGGATTGCTCCAGCCAGAGCGGTTGGGATGCAGGGAGCAGTTTGCCGAGGGCACTGACACCTCAGGTCTGTCCTCTGGACAACTCAGTTCTCCTAGGATGGGAGGGGTGCTCTCCCAAACTTCACATACTCTGAGGGCCTGTGATGGGTGGGGCACCCATCCAGACTTCTCAAATGCCCTTAGGGCAGTTTCCCTATTGTCCTGGTTTTTAGCATCCAGCTGCCTCACCCAAGATAATGTCCTTAGCAAACAGTTTATCTGCTTTACCCTTGCATTTTTCTCCAGCTTTTGAATTACCTCAATCAGTTCAGCTTATACCAGCTATTCACTCAGTCTCGGGCAGTTTTTGCAGTGTTCACCCACACAGTTCAAACAGCTGCATTCACTCAGTCCATCAAGGAGTGGCTGCCTTGCCCTTGTGCATACCTGCGGCTCTCCTGTAACCGCTGCCACCAAGACAGGCACGTAGTAATGGAGACTAACTTTTTTCCCACCTTTCACCAGGTGAAAACATACTTGAGATTCCGCAGCGGCACCCATCCTCAGGTCATCTGCCAATCTGCATGCGGCACTCTTTTCTCCGGTTTATTCAGCACTCGGCTGGCCATCGGGTTTAAGTGGCACCCTTCGAGCCTTTTGCCTTCAGACAAATGCAACATGCATTTACTACATCGTCTCTAGAGCACATTACACCATCCACCCCTAGGTCCCATAGCTGTAGCAGCCAAAGGCTCCCCGTTTCTGCTGCTTTTCTGTCTCAATTTCTCATGCAGAACAGACCTTGCCTGGTGTTGGGAAAATAGAATCGTTTGGTCAGGGCCC